CAGCTAAAAACTATTTCAAAACAGTCCTAATTGCTATGGTTGGAGGAAAAGAGAATGCGTAAAAAGGAAAATGTAATATTGCATTTTGCTTCAAATATCCAAGTTCCTGTAAGCGTTTTAGAACATTTTCATAAAGATGGATATACTACCTACGCTATAATTACGTGCCCAGCAAATATGAAGGAATGTGGTTTTTCCAGGATCAGGAGAGGTTTCTAGTGTGCAGGAATACCCCGGAGCCAGGCGTACCTCTCCTGTCCTCCGGGCTTATAAAATAAGATTTACGGGATTTTCCTGACATTATGATAGGGAAGTCTTCTTAAAAAATCCTTAACATCTTAATAGAGTCATAACACAGACATGCTTCTTTTTGTTGTTATTGTTTTGTCCTCCGAGTTACGCTTCCCTCCAAGGAGACAGCTCGGCAAATTCTCCACAGAGCGAGTGTGGAGACACGAACCCCCAAGCAATACACTTTGTTTACTTTGAGAATGTTACCGAGTTTGCAACAAAAGACTATCCATCAGTCTCATTAGGAAAGTTTACTTTTTTTTTTTTTTTTTTTTGCTTCTCTTCCCATGGAAAAGAGAAGGATCTTTTAAAACTCAAAATAGAGCAAATCTGGCCATTCTCAACATATGTCAGGAAAGGCTTTTCCCACTGTGCATACCCAAGGGCTAGAATATATAGTCACTCCGGGAAACTTTGACACATCCTTTTCCATGCAGGGCCCAGGCTTCAGAAAATTAAAAGCTTACAAATAAATTCAGAAACGGAAAGCCTATTTTATCTGATGCTGGCTGGTCCTTTGCTTCCTCCACACTGGTCCTCTCCCCATTGCCTTCCTCAGAGACACACGGACGCAAGCACCTCCTCTGAACCCAAGGAGAGATCACAGATCTGACTCCTTTCCATTTCTTCCTGTTCCTCTCACACACCACGTTGCCTGGAATGCCCGCTGCAGAGCGCTGCTCGACGGCACGGCACGATTCATGCAGTGAGTGTGTGCAGTTGTGTGTCTGTCCCTCGAGACTCCGGCACCTCAGTGGCAGGGATGGGGCTCTCTTGTTCTACTGCTCCGTGGTTTTAGTAGCATGCTTAATAAATAACTTGCTGACCAAATACCTTGACTCGAAACGCAGGAATTCCCTGTCCAAAAATACCGTGCCCCATGAGTCCTGGGTGTAATTACGAAAGGAAAGGTTTTCTTCGGTGTGGAGACTTTGATGGCAAGCAGGGAGAGGTGCTGCTGGAGGTGTCCGAAGAATAGGAAGGCTTCCCTATGTACGTCCCAGCGTGGGATGAGCTGACAGCTACGTCTAAAAACTCAGGACTGTCCTGAGATGAGCATATCCTCCCACGACCCACTTGGGAAGACGAGTTCCACAACGGGGCCCAGGGAGTATGTCTGTGAGCTGATGTAAGAACAGTCCAAGAAGGTTTTGATAGTTTTTCTGATGCAAAGAAAGAGGGACTGGTTGGATGACTGGATACAACAAATGACACTTACCACCCAAATGGCATTTAGTGAAAAGCAACGTTTACAGCAAAGCATTCTATCACTTAGTGACTAAGAATTTTAAAATAAACACAAAGTTCCTTTTAAACAGAAATGGAAAAAAGAAAAAAAACTTCATCAACTTACTGGCAAGGCTGTAACATGAAAGTCCCCATCTATGGTTAGATTTGAATCCTGGTGACTGCTTATTTCAAATCAACGATTCTAGAAGGACACACTGGGCATTCTATTATTTATGATGGAATAAATTAATTACAGGCAAAACAGGAATCGTTTGCACCTTAGAAATGAACATCAGATGGCTCGGTATCCCGAAAGTTGAATCAAGGGTCTGCTCAATGCGTATGCCTTTTTTCCTCCCCTTTTTGGGGCAAGGAGAGTAAAAATTTATGCAAAACACCACACTTCTACCTTTTATAATTAATTTCCCAATGCCTCACCTATACATATTTTAATAATTCCTGATTTATAAGATGGTATCTATAATAAAATTTTCTATTTTCCAATAAATGAAAAGAAGGCAGGTTCACTCTGGCAACAGTGTCACACAATATCTGCTTGTCAGGCACCAATTTTTACTGCTTACATGTAAGTTAAAGGATAAGGAATTTATAATGCTGCCTGTGAAGGGAACCACTTTTCATACACAAATGTGATCTTTTTTTTTTTTTTCAAAGGGTAATACAACAGTACATTTACATAAACTAATCCAAACAATCTATGTATTTGACAATGGCAAACCTCACACAGATGGCCTATTGTTGGTTTACATCTTGGAGTTCTTTATATTGGCTTGTAGCGCTGCTCTAGCTGTCAAAGGTTTGACTTGGACACTAAATAAATGGTTATAGAAGTGCTATGCAGCGATATTGGACTTCTTTGCAAAAGAAAACCTGCTGTGTATGAATTCAAAAGCTATTAATTTTTCAGTCAAAAATATTCGTGCCTATTTCTTTTAATAAAGAAATACTGTGCTGAGCTACTAAGAGATAATGTTGACTAGTGGTAGAGAATTTTCAATAGAACAGTTAAAAATAAATTTAGTAGGAGGTCCCCTTCAAAGTTATAATTTCCTAGAATGTAAAACATTTTTTTTTTCTAAATACTAATCAAGACAAACCTTCTTTCCCTGTGCATGTCCCCCAGGAATGCTTTTCCCTGTTTACTGGCTGCTTCACACTGGTCCTCATGGAGATTCCAAATGGTCCTTTCATGGCCAGTGCGTGCTTATGTGTATGGCGCTCCCTGCCAACACCTGGCCCCATCACTCACTGAGCGCCCCACGGGGTTTCACAACCTCTTCCCCACTTTTATCCCTCCCCCTCCCAAGGAGCCCCATCATACAACATGAGTGCATCCTAGAGTCCAGAGTCCAAACATTATTATAACATCACTGCTTTTAATCCATGCAGGGAGGAGGAGATAATCTCATTCCCTCCCTTATTACTAGGTTTAAAGACTCAAACCCTGCATCCTGTGGGGGCGGGGGGGAACCATCTCCAACAAAAACAATCATGAAGAGAGGTGAGAAGGCAATGGATTCCCCTAGCAGTTGGCTGTGTTCACTGGAGAACGGCCATCAAGTCATTTCCGGGTCTTACCAACTTGCTTTAACTGGGTTCCTATTATTCCCAAGGACCCTCCTTAACAGGAGGGGCTGATGAAGGCAACACAAATAGCACAGCTGACTACTGAATCCACAACACCAAACGGCCTGGGTTTTGGTTTCCCTTTCTTTTGGTAGCCTACACATTCAGTCCTATAGCCATTTACTGCAAAACACATGGAAACTAAGGGCTCTTTCCTAGTAAAAATGGATGTGCAAAGTGTTTAATGATTTTATGTCCTATATCTCAGTAATGTGTTCTGTTTCAGACATTAATTTTGTCTGCCAACTGCATCTTGGCAGGCTACCATATTTGCTGGGTTAATAGTCTGACTCCGTTTTATTTCTATCACCATAAATCATACATATATGGGTGTATGTTTGCTTTATTTATAGAAAAAAATCAGTCAAAACAGATAAACCAATACTTTGCCATTACGCTGCATCATTGCATATTGATTAAAATTGCTGGTACTAACTATAGATTGTCAACGCTCAATTAATTTTCACACAGTGACTCCAAGCAAAATCAAATAATGGCAGTGTACCTTTAAATTTTACAAATCTTAAAAATCAAGAAGCACAGCACTCTCTCCATTTTGAATAATCAGTGGAAGCTACTAAGAGATTTTTAGAAATGTAAGTATATGAGAAATACAACTGTTAAAGCGATCAATTTATAGCAAGGAATGAGGCCCAAGACAGGATTTGGGGTTTAGAAACCATCCTTCTGCTTCGATATTAACTGTCTGTGCTTGGATGGCACTCTTCAAGGTTACGGAAAAGGGAACAAGGCAAGCAGTAGGAGATTCCTAAAAGTTAAATGTAATTTCAGCTTACCGTGTTTGATCTCCTAACTGCAAAAGAGTAATATTCACTTTTAACTCTCTAATAACCATTGGGCACCCTCCATAATTTTAGCCTCCAGTTATTCCAAGAGTGTGTTTTCTGTTTCTTTCCTCTGTTACAGTTACGCTGGACTAGCCCTCACTCCCTTCTGCATACCTGCTCGCTGTCTCTCGGCTAACCCCTGAAATGCCTTTTCCTTTTGACTCCATGGTCTGGCTGTCTTCTTTCTGTGTTCACACCATTTAGAAAGATTCCCCACCCCACCCCATGACCAATCATAATATATTTTCATACACTGCTATAGCACCAATCATCTGTCCTGAAGAGCTAGTTGTAAGGTCCCATGGCCAAGGATCTGAATCATCCTCTATCTTCTTAAATGCCTTGCACACTGCCCTCTTCCTAAAAGGTACCCAGAAAGAGTCAACTGAACGTAAGTCCTTCAGTACTAACAAGCTGCCAAGGTAGGCTGTCCTGCCTCCTATGCTTGGGGTGAGTCCCCCACCCGAACTGGGGAGGGACTAATTTCTTCTATGTCACATAATTAACCTTAAATCTTTGAAATATCAAGTTTTGGGGGCACTTGGCTGGCTCAGTTGGTAAAGCGTGTGACTCTTGATCTCAGGGTTGTGAGTTTGAGCTCCATGTTTGGGTGTAGAGATTGCTTAAAAACAAAATTTTTAAAAAGGGTTCTATTTATTTAATTTATTTATTTGAGAGAGAGAAAGGGAGAGAGAGCGAGCGGGGGGGGGGGGGGGCAAGAGGGCAAGGGAGACCGAGAGAATCTCAAGCAGCCTCCAGCATGGAGCCTGATGCAGGGCTCAATCTCACAACCCTGAGATCATGACCTGAGCCGAAACCAGGAGTCAGAGGCTCAACTGACTGAGCCAGCCAGGTGGCCCAAAAATAAAATCTTAAAAGAAATACCCATTTTTCATAAGCTGAATTATTTCAAAATAAAAGTCAAACAAGACATTTTAAAAGGTGTTTTCTAAGGGAAAAGGGGGTGTAGAGCTCGGTACTTACGGGCTGAGGGGCGGCTTTGGGTTCCGTAGACTTCACGTGCAGATGGGTCATCATGGCTTGCAGGCGCTCTTTGTCTTTTGCAAGCTAGTGGGAAGGAAATGCTCTGTTATTTCTTTGAATACAGATGCATTACTATTTTAACATCTAAAATGATACATATTCCAAATTAAACTATAGCACCATTGCACATGACAAAATCTTTCTCATTGCTTAATCGTTTTGAAATCTACACAACCATTGCCAAACTCGAAGTAACTGGAGGTGTCAGTGTGAGATTTCTCAACATGAGATGCATTAGCTTTTAACTGGGAAGTTCTAGACCTGCTGGCACCAAGGAGTCCCATAGAACACAGACAGCTAAAAGACAAAAACGTGAATCACACCTATTAACCAGTCTTATTCACGAGCAAGCCAAAGGGAAATGAGTGAGGTGGCTAAAACTCATTAAAATTCATCTTTTGTGGCTGTGGAAGAGCTCTTAGACACACGGACACATTTATGCAGAATTAACTTCATCTTTCTTTTTTTTTTTTTTTAAAAGATTTTATTTATTTATTTGAGACAGAGAGAATGAGAGAGAGAGAGCACATGAGAGGGGAGAAGGTCAGAGGGAGAAGCAGACTCCCTGCCGAGCAGGGAGCCCGATGCGGGACTCGATCCCGGAACTCCAGGATCATGACCTGAGCCGAAGGCAGTCGCTTAACCAACTGAGCCACCCAGGCGCCCGAACTTCATCTTTCTTAACAGGTAGGCACAGATTAGCAGTGCCACTGAGCAACACTGGCAGGGCGGGCACGGGGACAAGGGATGACACGTTCTCATCTCCAAAGGAATGCAGAATAAGCCTGATCTTTCATTTATTCAGTAGGTGAGTACCTACTATGTGTTAGTTTCATCTTAACAAAAATTTAAGTCTTCTCATCGTACAAAAAATTATCTTTTGAAGAAACACAAGCTTCTAATCTTATGTACATCACTGCACTCAAAATACTACTAGATGCTCCTTTCTTTGTGCTTGCCTTGAACTGTTTAAACATGATATTTTTGGTAATTCAAGGCAGCTGGGCACAGAGGATACAAAATAATTGATTCTAGGTAGTTTTGCCATAAGCATCTTTGCCACATAACTAATCGGCCGTAAGACAATCTTACCATAAAAGACAGGATCATGACAAATGGAAGGGGGGTGTTCCCGAAAAAGGACCAAATGAAACATAAAAAATCAATATCAAAATGAAACGGCTTCTCCAGAAAAAAAACATTTGAATACATTCACAGTGTACAGTGCAGACTGGGGGAGAGACAGCATAAGTAACGGGTTTCATTTTGTGGACTGTTCCGAAGCACTTCACTCATCTCCGAATTATTCATAGTATCATACGTTTCCTGGTTGCTTTCGTTAATCCCCATTCAGCATTGCACTTTTTCTTTTATCGATACAATTCCTTCCTTCATGAGGAGAGGTATCCGTTTCCAAATTCTAGAATACGTGTTTCTAACTGAGCTCTGTATGGCGCTGTAAAAGCCTTCTGCACGGTCGCTTGTTCTTGGCATACAGTCTCACGTCTGCTGAGAGACCTCTGTTCCAAAGTTCTATGGGACACGTGGATTGGAAACTCTGGGTCACCGTATACGCCTTTATGAGGGCTAAGATTTTTAGAATATAAAAATGGAAGTACTTTGTAAACGGAGAAATGAAACCAAACTGTCAAACCAACTTGTCAAAACCAGTTATTTATTTATTTATTTTTAAAATCTCTTAGGGCAAAACTGCCTTAGGATAATTACTTCTGTGGTGCAATTGACTGCAGCAGAGAGGTCTATAGCAAAGATGCTTACGGCGAAAATACCAGACATGATAATAATTACCTTTGTAAGGTAAGTGGGAAGTGTATCTCTAAAAGATAAAGGCATAGTTAAGAGAAGAACCGTGGAATTTGGGGGAAATGTAGAAGAGACTAATGAATGAGTGAATAGAGAGGGAGAGAGAAAGAAAGAGAAAGGGGTGGGGGTGGTGGGGAGAGTCTTAGATCAGCACTTTTATAGATCATTGGTCCAAAATAATGCCTTTGAACTGGGGAGGGACTCATTTATTCTATGTCACATAATTAACCTTAAATCTTTGAAATATCAAGTTTTGGGGGCACTTGGCTGGCTCAGTTGGTAAAGCGTGTGACTCTTGATCTCAGGGTTGTGAGTTTGAGCTCCATGTTGGGTGTAGAGATTGCTTAAAAACAAAATTTTTAAAAAGGGTTTTATTTATTTATTTATTTGAGAGAGAGAAAGGGAGAGAGAGCGAGCGGGGTGGGGGGCAAGAGGGCGAGGGAGACCGAGAGAATCTCAAGCAGCCTCCAGCATGGAGCCTGATGCAGGGCTCAATCTCACAACCCTGAGATCATGACCTGAGCCGAAACCAGGAGTCAGAGGCTCAACTGACTGAGCCAGCCAGGTGGCCCAAAAATAAAATCTTAAAAGAAATACCCATTTTTCATAAGCTGAATTATTTCAAAATAAAAGTCAAACAAGACATTTTAAAAGGTGTTTTCTAAGGGAAAAGGGGGTGTTTCAGCATTTTGGGGAAAAGGCAGAGGAAAGGGAAAAGGTACAAAAGCAAGAGAGAAAAAGCTTTCGGCTTATGCTGGCTGGATGACTCAGTCTCAAGCCATATCGCATTTGATTTTTTTCCTTTTTATTCCCTTGTGGTGCAGGGAGGAATAAATTAAGAAGAAAAAAAAGCCTTATAGTGTTAGCATTTATCTTTCAACAAACAGGAAATGAAAATGATACCATATTAGGAGCCACTTTACGTTATTCATCTTCTGAGCCTTAGTAAGTTATTGACTGGCCAAACTAAAAGATGCTCTGAACACATAATGCCAAAGGAATTTAGTTTTCCAAAGTGGCTCAGTTAGAACAATTAAAATGTTTGCAATGGCATTCTTCTACAGTTATTCGTATTTCTGTAGTTATTTGTTTTTTTTTTTTTTTTACCGTGTTTTAAGTTTTTAGGTGTTAGAACCAAAATATTCATAGAATTCTAAAAAATATTGTGTCTTAAAAGTTATCATGGGGCAGAAGGAATGAAGGCATATCTATTATTCTTTTTAAAAAACAAGTAGTCTGCCATACTGAATGTTACAAATTAAAGGGTGAGAGGTGATAGTTACTTAAGAGTCTGATGAATATTAACTGTGACTTAATTTGGGGGTAAACATTGTTGACGGAGCAATTAACCAAGACCAAGGAGAAGGAAATCCAAATTCCCAGCATCAAAAGGAATCATCACCTCTATGTTCTATCCAGATGTCTACCATGCTGACATTTTACTGGTCAGAGGTAATAACACTATGTCGCAAACACATACCTAGAGTTTGTACACACGGCCACATCCATAAACCCTGGAGGTTACTGCCATGGGAGACAATTTCTCACTTCTCTGTGAGAATATTAGCGTAGAATTCACTGTCCATTTTGAGAATTACCCAGGTTCCTTATTTCGCCTCATACTCAATTCTACCATCCTAGCTCTGCTTTATTATAAAAGATCAGCAAGGTTACAGAAAAAAGGCAAAAGTCCAAGTTTCTGTTTTTGTTTGATCAGTGCTAACTAGCATGTAATATATTCTTGGATGGGTTCTGGATTTTTACCATCAGTTACAGCTCTAACTCTAATACAAACCCTTTTAACAATTAAAGAAAAAAATCACCTGCCAAATTCACTTTTTGTTGTTTTAGGCAAAAAGGCTAATATTATTCACACCTACTGAAACCACATCCTCTCTCTACTGGGGCTGTCGTGCATTTTTAATACTCACTGGCCCTTTAAAAAGCTTTCAGATTCTTTATTACTTTTTATGCCGTTATTCCATGAGCTCAGCATCCCTATCCATTTTCACGGCATCCTTTCATTATTATAATATGACAATACAAACATTTAATATTAGCAAATGTATATTCCAGCATTCCCTCATAAACTGAATCCCATGCAAAGCAAAGCAATGGAGGATGAGACATGTACTCCAAAGGTCAACTAAAAATTTGGTTGGCAAATGAAAACAATTTTTTATGTTGTGCTAGCAGAAATTACTCTCTAAAAACTTTCCTGGTGGGTACGGGAGGGGTTTCTGGTGTAAAAAGGAATGCCAACAGGCCCCACATTGAGGGGACATGCTCGTACAATGTTTGGTTATTAGCAGGTTCCCCAATTTTGGAGAGAGACAGCAGAGTGAAAACGGATGAAGGTCGTGGGCACTGCAATCACACTATGCTGGATTCAGATTCTGGCTCTGCGACTCTGAGCACATTATGTAACCTTTTTAAGTATTTAGTTTCTTCTTCTAAATATGGAATAATAATCTCTGAACTCTGAAGAGTTGTTTTGAGGATTAGATAAGTTCTTGCACATAACAAGCTTAGCACAGAGCCTAGTGCTTCACGGATGCTCAAAAATATCTAACTTTCTCTAAAGGAAAGTTACACCGTCTGGTCTATTTAGACCTCAAGTGGTTGAGTATATGCTTGGAACCCCGGTCCATGTGACAAGAGTTCTGTGCAGTTTGCAGTGGGCCTGGCTGGGGAGAGGATTTTGATGTCTTGAAGAATGGAACAGAAATCGTAGGAGAGATGAAGCCCACTGCTTATGGATTGATTTCCTTGGTTCTCGCCGTCTCTTGCCCTCATCCTAGGCAAATGCTTTTTCTCCCCTTGGCTGATACAGGTCATCCCCTCTTCTATTAGCCATGGCCTCAAATTAGGTTTTAGCCTGTCCGGGCTGTGAAAGGCTGGAACGCTTGTATCGCTCTGGACACACTGATAACTGCCGAAGGCAAGGAGCTCCATTCAACATCTTCAAAGATAAAAACTGAGGAGATTAAACTCATTCTTTTAGCAGAGAAAAGGGAACACGGTTTTAGGTTCATTTAACATAATCACTTTATATGTTGTCTGGAGGACTAATCATTTTAAGCCCAATTTGGCGGTTCTCACTTGTGAGAAACAGAATCTGAAATAAATGAAGGATCCCGGATGTGTAAAAACGTTTGAATTACCGAGGACGGATGAGAAGAAAGGACCAAGTGACTCAT